TTTTTTTTGTCTTGTTTCTTTTTTTGTGTGTAATTTTAAAAAATTTCTCAATAAATATCATTTTTTAAAAAAAAAAGGAGACATGAACCTCAGGTAAGCAGGATGTGTGCTAGTGCTTATGAAGGCAGAACTAGATAGTTAATGGCAAAGCCGCCTTGACAGGGAGATAGTTACTGGGTTGAATACAAGGCTGGGATTTCCCCATTAGTCCAATAAATACATAGCCACATTCATCACTATTATGGAACAGTGAGAGGACAAAATGCAGGCATAGAGCACATGCCTCATATAATGTCCTGGATCCAATCCCTAGCATTTCCAGCTAAAAGGAAAGATAACAAGGAGGGATCCAGTCTAACCTCTCTTGAGAGTAAATTCCACAATATGAGAACAGCCATAGAAAAAGCTCTCTCTCGTGTTTCTACCAACCATGCCTCTGACACTGATGGGACCCAGAGAAGGTGCTCAGCCAAGGACCTTATCACCCAGGCAGGTGTGTAAAGGGAGATAGGATCTTTCAGATAACCTGGGCCCAAGCCATATAGAGCTTTGAATTGTGTCTAGAAACAGACCAGTAGCCAGTAAAGTTGTTTCAACAGGGGAGTGGCATGTTCTCTGTAACCAGCCTGCCTTCAGTCTGGCCATAGCAGTCTGGACAACTGAAGCTTCCAAACATTTTTTCAAAGGCAGCTCCATCTGGGGTGCATTACAGTAGTCCAACTGGGATGTAATTAAAGCATGCATCACTGCGTGGCGAGATCTGACATCTCACAGAACAGGCATAGTTGGTGCATGAGTCGTAACTATACAAACGCATTCCTGGCCACCAACAAAACCTGGGCATCCAAAGTCAGGCAGAATCCATGAGTACATTCAAACTGCGAGCCCAAATCTTCAAGGGGACTGTAAACTAAACACAGGTTGAAGCCCTGTTCCCTGATCCACCTTCCAACTGACCAGGAGTGCCTCTCTCTTGTCTGGATTAAACCTCAAGTTGTTCAGACAGGCTTCAGATCCTGTCATTAATTTTGCAGTTAAAATGGTGCCTTTCTCTAAGGCTTCATGTGAATAACAACTCCTCCTTCCAAATAATAATAATAATAATAATAATAATAATAATAATAATAATTTATTATTTGTACCCCGCCCATCTGGCTGGGTTTCCCCAGCCACTCTGGGCGGCTTCCAACAAAGATGAAAATACACTAAAATGTCACATATTAAAAACTTCCCTGAACAGGGAAGCTT